CTGAGGTTTCGAATGCAGCACTTCACCTGTTTACAGATACTGCGGGTTCCTCTGGTTTTGGGGCTATTCTGGGGACACAATGGTGCGCGGAATTTGGGCCCAGGTCCTGGGTTGACTCAGGCCTGACCAAGAACTTGGCGTTCTTGGAGCTCTTCCCCATCCTGGTTGCGGTTCACCTAATAACTTAACGGCCTCCTCCCCTCCGGTGGTCAGGCTCTTGCGGCGAATGGTTTTATGATGCTTGTCTCTGAATGTGACATGCCGCGCTGTGCACATTCCAGGCGTTATGAATACCACGGCTGATGCTCTCTCTCGTTTTCAATGGCAGGTGTTTCGGGCGGCAGCTCCGGGAGCAGATGTGGAAGGCCTCTCCTGTCCTAGAGAACTATGGTCCCTTGGCCTGAGCGAATAAGGGAATGGGATACAGGCTTCGGTGTCTGAGGCGACATGGGTCCGGTATGGTAAGGCTTGAGGGGATTGGGTCGCGCTGGAGCAGGATCACAGAGGGTACACTTCCCCTGCCGAAAGGGTCCAAGGTTTGTTGCAGTTGCTCTGGTTCTGGGAGGCCTGCAAGTGTTCCCCATCTCCTGTGTCGGGGAAGCTTTCAGGCCTTAGTTTTTGGTTCAACCTAACTCAGGTTCCAGATGTTACAAAAGATTGCATGGTTAGGCTTGCGATGCGCGGTTGGCGTAGAGGCCCTCGTGTGCGAGATCCTTGGCGGCCAGTGTCAGGGGCACTTCTGCTGGGGATCTCCTCGGTACTACCCCAGGTCTGTTATTCCGCCCCGGAAGCTTGTTTGTTTCTGGTTGCCTTCACTTTTGCCTTTTTTGGGGCCCTCCGGATCGGGGAACTAGTGAGCCCAAGCCGGGGGACCCCAGGAGGACTGTTGTTTCACGATGTTTTCATCGTGAGTGTTGCAGAGCGCTTCTTGCTGTGATGGTTTAAGACTGACGTTTTTGGAAAGGGTTTATGGGTTACTCTCCGCACCATCCCCAATTTGGCTGTTTGCCCAGTCTCGGCATGCCAGTCCTATTGCTCTATACGCCTGACTGTCGCGAGCCCGCTGTTAATTCACGAGGATGGTGCCTACCTGTCTTGTTTTCAATTCCTCAGGGTATTCCGGTTGGCGCTGGACCGGCTGGGAATCCGGAGCGAGGATTTTGGGGGTCATTCCTTCCGGATTGGGGCGGCAACGGAAGCATCTCAGCTAGGTTTCTCTGACCAAGCGATTCAGAGGATTGGTAGGTGGGAGTCTGGGAGGTTTCGGTCTAATGTACGGCCTACGCGTCTGATAGGTGCCCCCCTTGTGTTTTCTCCGAAGGGCCCGGCCGACGGATCTGGCTGATCGTGCATTCTTATATATACTGGGCCCACCTGCGGGCAGGGGTACGCCCGGGTGGGACACGTCTTGGAATACCTCTGGAGCTGATGGAGGTCCGATGGTTCGGGTTCCGGGGCATGCGATGGGGCCAGCTCTTGCCGGAGGTCGTACAGCTGGCTACATTCTTGGGGGCCCCTGATGTATTGGTAGTACATCTGGGGGGCAATGATCTTAGGGCGCTGCCTGCATGGGGTCTTGGGGAATTGATTAGACGTGATTTAGCACGCTTGCGAGTCCTGTTCCCGCAGCTTTGCTTAGTTTGGTCAGGGATAGTGTCCAGAAACTATTGGAGGCGTGCACGGGATCAAGGGGCTATTGAGCGCTGCAGGGTAAAAATTAACAAGAGGGTGTCTGTGACGAGACCAATCTCGCCACATTGCATTGGAGAAGCCTGGTTGCTCGCCTGCTGCCTCTGGACTATGGCCCCCTTTTAAAAGACTTTATTTCGCCTGGAGAAAAGCTGTATTCGTGCTTTTCTGCCAATTGTTTGGTAGATTCAATCTACCGAACAACCGCACGAATGAATAGACCACCTAGGAGCTGGAGTGTGCCGGCAATTAACCTCCCTGAAGCTGCGGTTAACCGCAGCTTAACTGACGAATGCTGGGTGGCCGCCATTCGTATCCCGAACACGAGGTCGCGGCCATTTTAAACATACGAATGCACAGCGGTGTTCGTCCCTATTTTCATGGAACTAAAATCGGACACAATTTTGCGCGAACACCGCTGAAGCCGCCGACCTCCCTTCTTGTTCGGTGGAAGTGCACGAACGGCCCTGTGTTCGGTAGTTTTGGTTGAATGTGTTATACCCCAGATAGGAATCCCATGGAGCCCATTCGTATGAAACTGACTGTAAAGACTTTGGCTCCATGGCGATTAAACTGTATTCATGTGGTCTGAGCGCCATTCACTTAATAATGTGCACTCAGACCTGAGCTATCTGGGGATATGTTACATGTCTGAGTTTTATGTAATAAATGTCACTTTATGTATTTTAAAGTATAATACTGGTTTTGTGTCCCCACATGGGTAATGGAGTTTTGCCTTTGTCTTGGGAGATAATTGAGTTACTTCTCAATTATCTCCCAGGGCAGAGGGGAGGAAGCCAGGATGCATTGTGGGAATATACTGTGACTGTGTGTCCTATTTGTCTACTTGTCTGTCCCTTGTCACAGTCTCCCATTTGGTCCCCTAGGGGAGTGTCCACCAGGTGGGAGACCTGCATAAAAGCCGGGCAGGTAGCCCTCATTAAACAGACCACTGCTTGACCCTCAACACGGAGCCTTGTCTCGTCTTTGGGGGGATTTACTGTATGCTGATAAGGACTGATTGCCAGGAGTGTAAGCCACTTGGGAGCTTTTCCTGTTCGTCTGGTAGCAGCAATTCGTATGGTTCCTGTTCGTGTATTTGGAGTGCTACCTTATTCCCTTGTATGCCTGTCGGGAGTTTGGAGCATTCCCTTGTATGCCGTTCGGGAGTTTGGAGCATTCACTTGTATTCAATTCGTGAGTTTTGGTGATTCTACAGTAGCTGTGCCTGTCTCTGAAAGGGGATTATCGTCTAAGCGGTTTTTACCCCTTTTGTGCAAAACGGTCCGTTACAGTGTCCAAATTTGTTTTCGGAGTCGGAGGTGTCACGGTACGACACCGAATATTCGAGCGGGAGGCGGTGATTTATTTATTTATCCATCTGACTGACGTGGGGTTAGATTTATTTAATTTAGCGCTACAGGATGCGCTGGAGCAGGCCATGGCGTTGGTTGGGAGTCGCGCCCGCTGATTTAGGCTTAAATGCAGCAGGTGCTAGTGGTGGATATGGTCCTTGCCGAACCAGTTGGGAAACGGAGTACACTGGAAGAAGGAATGCTGGGTCTGGTCCCTCCCCTAACCTCGGAAAATGTTTGGTAATTGGGCGTGCCCTCCATGCCAGGAAAGGCGACCAGGGGTTGGCATGGGGAATTGGAAGGCCAAGGTGAAGGCCAGTTATCTCGGACGAGGGGGGAGGGTAGGTCCCCGGATAGGGGGTACTCTAGAGTTGTTTGGTCCGGTTGGCAAGGACGATTTTGAGTTACATCATGCTTATATTAAAGGATAGTTAATATTGGTATATATTTATTCTTGTTATTTATAAATAAATAAAGCTGTGGCCTGTTTATACCACATTTACGTTTCTTGGTCTTAATTGGTGGAGGAGGGGGGAGCGGGTTTGTGGGTATAATGGGTCGCACCACACAATAACCACTACCTGCACACAAGGCATCTCTAACAGAAGTTACACTTAGAACTAAGTGTTAGGAAGAAAGGGGTGAGAATGCCTAAGCACGCGCACACACTCACAATTATGTTTAATTATATAAATAGTACCTACGTTAAAAATTTGAATATATTCATAGATAGAATCCTAATGGATAGATTTCCTTATTCATAAACTAACACTAGCTGAATGTGTGTAAAAGACATGTATGTATATATATATATATATATATATATATATATATATATATATAGTGAGAGAGAGAGAGAGAGAGAGAGAGCTTATGTTATCACTTATCACTAATACTGAAACACTTAGCTACATACAATGGGACAGCTTAAAATGGAAAGTCCAAACACAGATAAAAAGGAATACTCCATACCAGTAATTAATTTTACTTTGAAAGAAATCTACTTGAATGGGACTTCTGCAAGATCCCATTGTAAAAGTGAGTTTTACCACAGTGCAAATTTGGTAACCACTTAAATGATGGTACAATTTGATGCCTTTGTTTGTTAAAACCGCCCAAATCCCTTTGATATGTGACAGCCATCCATTATGAAGTAGCTATAGAGATATTGTTTTTCTACATCATTTTCAATTAACCCCTTAGACAAAGTGGTAATTGTGTCTAAAGTAACCTCGTCACTGGCTTTTGGAGGGGCCTGCTGGCCAGCCTCTTGCCTCAGGACTATGGGCCCTGCAATATACCTTGCCCAATGCACTTTAAAAGGCTCTGTTCATGTGAAGTATGTACTTTTTTACTCCAGACAGAGAGACCGACCGTTAGCCCTAATTCTCTGGAACTGTTTTGGGCATGGGACCATGTGCACGGTGGGTCAAAACTATAACTTAAACCCCTGAACCGATCTGGGTGATTTTTGTATATGTTGTTCACCCAGATCATGGCTATCAGGCGATGTGACTTTATGGGGATATGTTGTATTTTAGGGTACTTATTGGACTTTGTAAAAATGTGTGTTTTTTTCTGCCTGGGGATAATTAAGTTA